TCAACCAAAATAGTGGCCGATCCATAATACATCACTAGTCTCAAGCAACTAGCATAAAGGAACTGCGAATAAATTAAAACCTTGGACGGGCCTCCTAATTTTTCACTTTTGAATAGGATTGGTATTATCTACTCCAAAATTTAGAGTATAATGGATCTTCTATCTCACTTTCTATTCCAATATCTGTTCTATTTTTTATTATATTACTATGTGTCATTTATAAGAATCCCATTTTAACTCTTTTTTTTAAGCTTTAAGTTCTAATAACTATTAAAAAAGTAAAAAATATAATATAATACAATAAAATAAAAGGTATAAAAGACAATTCCAATTTTTTAATTTTTTGCTATACTTTTTTTGGTTATATTTTGTACTTTTTAACTCAGTTATATTTTGTTTTTCCGCTCGTTTTGTAGTCATTAGAACTTAGGGGTGAAAATGAAGAGTTAAAAAAAGGTTTTGTTTGAAGGACATATGACAACATTGGAAAAAGGAAAACAGAAGTGGGATAAGAGGTGAGGCAGAAGATGTAAAACACACACTCTCTCTCTCTTCTGACAGGGATGCTTCATTTATAATTGTTGGCTTCTACCATGCAATGGTTTGCCCGTTAACATCAACCATTTATTCTCCCGAACAATAATTACCCTTTAATTCGGCCATAGAGTATTTAGAGTGTAGATGGAAATTGTATGCGTCTTGGTCGTCAAAGACTGTGCACTCACAAAGTCTCACTGTAGAAATCGGCACAAATGTACCACATTGTCGTTAGTAAGAACTAAGTAGTCAAGGTGCATAACATACGAAACAATTTTCAAGATAAAACTGAAAAGCCTTTCGAATCATATGTATTCTCTGAACTTCGTTAAAAATACTTGGGACTTTGGGCTTCTAAATTAATTGCCAAACATGTAATTATTGGTTTTTCCTCTAATAAACTTTGAGTGGTTACACTTCTCTTTGTCTCAAAATGTTAAAATGGCTATAAAACAAAAACAATTCATAGAAAGGAAATAAAATGGCAGGTTCCATTTAACCGTTATCCACAGAAATAAAATGTAAATGGTGCAACCTGGAAATTTTGTCTTACATTGACTAGCATGCAATTTTTTGAGGTATCACTTTTCAGCCCTATATCCCATATTATTTGAGTCCCCCAGCATTTGGGGGTAGAAGATACATAAAACATTGAGAATTGGGCACGATTGAAACTTACATTTGAACTCTTTGAGCCGTTGAAAAGAAAGGTGGCAGTCATAGAACCTCTTTCTTTCTTTTCCTATTTTTTGGTAGCTGCCCTTCACTGAACCTTGGAGCAGCCATGAGTAACTTGATCAAGAAATCGGTTCTTTTAATTATTTTTTTTCTTTCGTTTCTGATCTTGGGGATCGGAGTGGCTAGACTTTGCAAAATGGAGTATGTATACAACCATTTCTTAATAGCTAGTATCACTTCATGACCCACTCTTCTTAATGATAGGATAGGAGATTATCTGAAATATACTTTGTAATAATTATCGTAACACTTTTTGCGATATGGTGTATGTAAAATAAAAAAATATATTAAAAAGATAAAAAATTGATTGAGAATTATAATTGCGATGCAAGTAAAACATCATTTAGAAAAAGTATTGCTATCCTTCATCTATAGATCAACGTATTGCATAATTTTTATAGCTCAATTATTGACTAATAATGAAATAGAGGAGAAAATACATAATTTAGTTCCGGCCAAGATAGAGATGCCCACCTAATCAAATTTATAAAGGCCATAACATCTATTGATGAACAGTCAGAACCAATAACCAGTTTATGCTAATTAAACAAAAGACTATTTTGAGAAAAGTAGTAAACCCTTATTTTATATCCAAGTTGCCTATGGTGGGCTATCATTTGTAGACCTAACGTATTTAGTGATTACTAATAATAAGCCGGAAGAAAAGTACTCGACATGTTAGTCCATACAGAGAAAGAGATGCATTCTTCATGAAAAGTTTAAAGGCCGTAAAAATCATTGATGAACCAACGGAAAACAAAAGTTCGTTTATGCTAAGTAAACAAAAGAGACCTCAGAAGCCAAACAAAAACTATGAAAGGATAGGGGTGTTGAAGGGCGGCGTGTGATAGATACGAATGAGACTGGTAAAATTTGACATTTTGAGCTTTGAACATACGAGCCAATTTCAATTATGAATTCATCAATGTCCAATTGTTTACGATTTCAAATTAAAATCAATTTCGGTAACGAAACAACACATTACTGTTTATCATATAGGCAACGGGTCAGAGATAACTGCAAAATCTAATAAATATTAAACAAGGGCTTGAAGTCAACAGTGATTGAGAATGGAAGAATAAAAGCAGCACTAGTAAAGCAAGTTTCATTTATTTAAGGACAGCACTGCTGTCAAAATTAGTAAAAAAAAAAAAAAAAGAAGATAAGTATACTCCAACCCGAATATTCTGTTACCAATCGATACATTCTTCAATTCTTTTGAAACTCAAGCAACATAGTGAAATAAATGGTATATAATTTTCATAAGGGATCATTTCAGAAACCTCCCCTGGGATTTATGACAATTTTAATGAGATCCCTTGAGGTTTCAAAAATTACACCTACTTCCCTTGAATTGACACTTTTGGCAATCAAACCTTAGACTTGGTCAATAATTTAAATGAAAAGCCTCAAATGCCCTTAGTTTATAAATTTTGAATTACTTATCCCAAACCATTATAAAATAATTTAAAATATATGTAAAGGAAGAGTGTCAAGTGTCTAACACAAATGTAAGTGAAGAGTGTCAAGTCTCTAATACTCATTTATTGTTTGATAAGTAACAATAATAGTTTTTATTATTATGATATGATACTTTTCATGGTACTTTACAGTGGATATATATTGCTTTTAAGTTGAAGAAGAAAGTATCATCATAATTCTTTTAGAGTTTGTGGGATTTTAGATTAGTAGAAATATCATAGCTTGGTAGTAGTTTTGGTCAATTTCTTTTTGATTTATTGCTACTTTTGATACCAAAAAAGAATCCAAACAAACAAGATTGACAAAAAAAAAATTTTTTTGTCACATTCAAAGTTGTTAGGTACAAAAAAATGTCACAAGTCCAACATCTAGTAACCATAGAGGTTACGGTCAATATTAATAGTTCTATTGTTTTACTACAAAAATATAAAAAGGAGAAATAAGAAGAGAAAAAGAAAAGATTAAACAGTTATAAAACCCATTTTTCGTATGAGCATGCCCAACAAGAGAGTTTTATTAAAATTTTAAGGCTACTATTGTCATTTTAAATAGGAAAGGGAGGTAAGTATAATTTTTAAAACCTTGGGGGAGCTCAATAAAATTATTAGAAACCTTAGGGGAGGTTTCTAAAACTACCCCTTTCATAAATTACTATGCAGGCTCGTTCAATCAATGTAAACTTCGAATTTAGTTTGTATTTGTGAAGTTAAAACAAAGGCAAAAAAGAAAAGGGGAAGATGGATGGATACTACGGTCTCTCTTATTTAAAATGAATTAACTTGGCACACGTCACAAGGGGTGTATTTTTCTTTTTTTTGCCAACACAATAAATTTTATGCTACAGCTACTCCTACTCTATACTAGAAGGAGGGGGGACTTAAAGAGATCAAGAGGAACCTGGTGAACCACCACTGGTCCAGACAGATGCCTTACAAGAGGGAAGGGGGATTTAAAGAGATCAAGGGGAATCTAGTAAACCACCACCTTTAAGTCAAGCGGAACCTAGTGAACCACCACCGGTTTAAACGGGTGCCTATGTACCTGCTGGCAAAATTTTTTAGGAAAACCTGAATATTAAAATGCAGGTCAAGGGATTTGATCTTTTAACTTACACCTAAGTAAAGTTTTAAACCTCTCTTGGTGACCAATAACTCTAAGAATAGTTGGTTCACCAGGGGTGTATCTGTGTATGTTTTTTTCTCCTTTGGAAGTTATATGCTCTACTTCAACCAAGGTACGGACAGCAAAAAATTAATAACAAAAGTATAGTGACATGTTTGTCTTTTAGATTGTTTTCACACACAATTATACAAGAAAGCATAACCACAATAGTGGTAGGGGTATCTTTGTCATTGCAGTTGCTTTGATAGCATAATTATGTTGACTAATGATTCAAAGGAGTTAATTGACACACACTTTGAGATGGCTATTAAAGTTAAAAGTATAATTTACGTTTAGGTAGCATGAATGTGTGGTACTGGAAGGCAGGGTAAAGTGACAGAACAATAAATATTAGAGACTAAAGTGCAATGTAAAACTGAAACTAAAGGTCAACAAACATTAGTAGTTTTTTTTTTTTTTTTAACTGACAGAACAGTAAATGTTAGGGACTAAAGTGCAATCTGAAACTGAAACTAAAGGTCAACAAACATTAGTTGGGTTTTTTTCTTATTTAACTCCAACATTTGTAGGTTATGGAAGAAGGTGATCATGATCATCGTTTGTAGGCTATTCCCAATATCATTTTAGTCAAACTTTTTGGGCGAAAATTTATGGATTAATTTTCTATAGACTAATAATGTATGTACTATTAAGTTTAAATGTATGACAATTAACTTAAATTTATATTTAAATTTTAAATTTTACATATGTATCTTTCATCTAACCGTAACAGTACATGTAATGTTAGTAAATACAAGATTTATTGAAATTTTATATGATACATTCGTCTGTTAGGCTAATTTTGCCTATACCTCGTATCCCAAGACTAGTATCATGTCTTGGTTACAATTTCTGAGTCGTTTCTCGAGCACAATTTAGGTCATGACTCTCGTGGAATTTATTTAATCAGTTGTAGAATTACCATTAGAAAAATGCTGGGTATGTTTGGTTTCCCATGGAATTGAGATTTAGAATTGGAATTGGGGCCCCAATTCCAAATCTGTTGTTTGGATACTGCTTCGGTCAAAGAATTAGAATTGAATCTGAATTCTATAGGGTCCAATTCCATGATTTGAATTCTTTATTGGACCAAAAGAATTCTAATTCCAATTCCACAACTAAACCCTGCGAAACGGGTCTACACGCGGATCTTGTGGGTAAAAAATTAAAATCGGGTCAACTAGGTAAGCAGCTTCAGCCTCTGCTTCACTGACTCTTCTTCTTCCTCCTTCGGATTCCTCAAAACCCATTTCCCTTTTCCCCACTCCAACCCATCGATGGATTTCCAACGGCTTTTTCAAAATTGTCACCTGCGCTGCTCCGAAGCATGGCATTCACTCCACTGAAGCAATTGAAACTACTATCGGGTATCAAGTTGCTATCTTTATCTTTTGCCTTTCTAGAAAATCCAGATTGCTTTTTAGTGCACCTTGGACGAGTTTATTGCGGTTTCATTTTTTGTTCTCTCGGTTGCTGTTTTTTTTTTTTTATTTGTTTTGCCATTTGTAGTGATTTTTTATTGTTTGAGGTTTTTGATGGATGGCGTTAGGTGGGTTTTGTTTCTGGTTAAAGTGGAGGGATATTTGGGCGGTTGGTTGTTGAATGTACTGAGTGAAGCTGCTGATCGGTTGCATCGTGGATACTTTACTGAATGTTTTGAAATTTCATCCTTTGATCTGTGATAGGGACTGTGATCACAAAGCAACCTAGGCTGGCTTATGGTTTGGATTTCCGTTCATGCCATTTGTAGTGAAGCACCTTTCTTGCCTTTATTTCTGTGTTATCCACAATAATCTGCACTGTCGCTCTAGTATGTTTTTCACTGCATTCCACATCTTCCACCATTGGTACTCTTGGTGATAGTGTACTTATGTCCAGAGTACCCCATTGATCAGAGAGCACTCTGCAGAAATCATCTAATTCCTGCATCTTCGGACAGCTATTGCTGCTAGAGAAAAAGGGATTGACAAAAGGGGCTCTACTGAAGGTTCTTTTCTTGTTTCGGATAGCTTGTTTATATATCTTTCTTTCTTTCAGCAGTAGGAGATACATACAGCTCCTATTTTCTGTCTTCTTGTGTTCTCGATTTCTTGCAATATTTGTTTTTTGGGTATCACTTCAGTTAATCTCGATGATAGAATAAGAGAATAGGAACCCAATGATTATTGTTGGACTTTCTGCGGTTGAAAGTGCCATTGCATTGATTAAGGACAAAGCTAAAGTTGTAGAGTCTTGATAAAGCTCCATCAAGTTAATACGTATTATTGAGTAGTGGATAAACTTTGACTAATGGGACCAACTCATTGACGTCTTGATCAACGAGCAGGGCCTAATTTTCAGCCTTTTTCTTCTGTTTGGTATATATAATCCAATCCCTACTTTTAATCTCTGTTTACCATAGTGCAGTAGAGCTTATTAAAGCATATGATTAAAAATTCAAGTACGGACATCCTTTTCTTATGCATTATTTTGCATGGAACTTGGCATGATTTGGGATATTTGCAGTGATAGGTATAGCTGTAATTTTTGTTTGAGAGTTTTCCAATAGCTAATTTGGTCTTTTGAATTAATAGCTAGTTTGGCATGATTTGGTCTTTTGACTTACCTTTTCTTATTGTTGTCATGATTTTGAATTGCAGAATTTTGGATATTGACATGGATAAAGAAGGAGGCGAGCAAAAAGCAAAAAAGAGAAAAGTGGTAGTTGCAAATTATATGGTAACAATAGCTACATTAGTAGTTTGGTGGCATGAGAAACATATAGTAAAGGAGCCTTACTTGGACTTTAAAGTAGCACGTGAAATATATCTAAGGCGTCTTTACTATGGAAACAATAGAGTTTGTGTAGAGCAACTTAGACTCAATAAACATTGTTTTACTGTTTTATGTACAAATTTAAAAGAGCATTGTGGGTTGACGGATACTAGAAATATTACTGTTGAAGAGGCAGTTGCAATGTTTCTCTATGTTCTTGCTCATAATTTTTTTAAGTTAGAATATACAATTATTTTTTATTTAATTTAATTTAATTTTTTTAAAAAAAAAGAATTTTTTATTTTTGCAAAAAAGGAACTAATTTTTTTTCTTTTAAAGCTTTATTAACAATTAGTTAAATGCAAGAAAAAATAAATTATTAAAGGTACTAATTGGTTTTTTCCTTAAAGCTTTAGTAACAATTAGCTAAATGTTAAAAAATTATTATATAGTAAAAAAAAGAAATTTTTTACGTAAGGAAATATTAGTTGGAAACAATTCTAATTCCTAATGAATTCTTCTCTCATACAAACAAAGAATTTGGAATTTCAAATAAATTCCGTATCAATTCTATGCATTTCCCAAACGAAAGAATTGAAATGACTTGGAATTCCAATTCATAGAATTCCAATTCTATAGAATTTCAATTCTAATTCAATTCTAATTCTGTAGAACCAAACGTAGCCTAAATGTATTTCTGCATTATCTGACAAGAGATTTGAGTTAACTTGCAAGAGCCAATTAGCGCATGGTCACATGATTCTTGCCCTCCCAGTTGAGACGTTCCCGAAACATGGCCACCAAACTATATACCATTTGTTGAATGGAAAGTCACTGTGAATCATCCCTATAAATTCAGAAGCCAAAGTCTGAAGAAAAACATCAGTGTTCGTGGTGCTTCTACTCGCCCTTGCCATAGGTATCAACGCTCTCTCTTGCCATTCTTCAATTTAATTAAAATCACCCCTTGCAAGTTGCAATAGGTGCTTCAACATTTTTGCTTGTCAATTACTAATAAATGTGCATAATATGCAGCTTTATCGTTGCCCAACATGGAAGCAACATGGGAAGAAGTCCGGAGTACTGCGGACGAAGTTGTGGGCGCAGATCTGAACTTAGAAATTGCCGCACCCGGGATAGATGACAACACAGATGTGCAGGATTTGAAGGCAGATCCCAACATAAGAGTGGATGCAGATGTGGACGCTGATGCGAGCGCAGATACCCACGTAGGTGTGGACGGAGAAGAGAGTGTGGCCTCGCAAGCCGACTCAACTGCAGACGCAGATAATGACTCACAGGCCAACGCAGCTGCGGACGCAAATGTGGACGTACATCTGCGGGGCTAATTTGTGTGGTAAATCCGGCAGTTGAAAGGTGATTACTTGGGATCGAGGCCGTGCAAGAAGTTGTGACAAGCTGGTGTGCAAATTTGTGTTTTTTGTTTTGTTTTAAATATTTATGTGCAAAAATAGAAGAAAACAATTTTTTACAGCTGAAGTTTCACGTGTACGTGGTTGTTTTACTATTTGGCGTTTTACCCTTTTTTTTTTCCTATGTTTGTAGTTTTGATATCCAATGTAAACCGAATTGTGGTTTATGTAAACCATGCGATCCCATTTGAATTACTATGTTTTGAAATTTTTCTAGAAAAATGTATTATAATGATTTGATATACGTGAGCTAAAAAGATTATTAGAAAATGTATTCACGAAAACTATAAAAATTTTTGAAGAAACGTTGCAATCCAAACAAGATAGTATTAGTGTCTTCACCATGCATAAATAGATTGGCTTGAAGAAATCTTTTGTTAAGGGAATGAAAATTGCGAATGGAAAAAAAGTTTTTTGGTTCAAAGGTAAATTTAACCTTATAAATGAAGAGATATTAAGTTGCAAGGTGCCCGGTCAATATTGATCCGGTGTGTACTGAGTGGCATCTATCTCTACTGGTTTAATGTGTTTATCCTCCCTAAAGCAGTTATTCATAAGATTGATAGTATGATGGCATCTTTTCTGTGGTTTGGAGATCTGAAGTCTAGATATTCCGCCAAAGGGGAATGGACTGATTTTTGCCAACCATAAAAGGAAAGCGGACTGGGTATTAACAATATTGAGCAATGGGATGTCTGCTTAATTTTGAAGTTGATATGGAATATCTGGAAGAAAAAAGGATTTCCCTGTGGGTAAGGTGGATTCATCCTGTCATGCTAAAAGGAAAAAATTTTTGGGAAGTTAATATTCCCTCAGGTTGCTCTTGGGTGTGGAAGAAGTTGCTAAAACTTAAGACATAGCACAACCTCTAATTGCAGTTTCTATTGATAATCTGGCTGCTACTTCCTTCTGGTTTGACTCGTGGCACCCGTCTGGCTACCACTATGGTTCGCAATATTCACCGATATCGATGCGTATCGGCCGAGTCGTATCCGGAACGGAGAAAATCGTACGATACTAATTTCATAATCGCGGATATTATCATATTCACGACGACTCACTCTAACTCGGTTGATGTTGGCCGTTTCGAATCCGTAATACATGATATCGACCGATATATCCGAGTCGGCTCGGAATCGACTCGGATATTTTTTAAATTGTGTCTTTTTGGTATTTTCTAATTTTAGAATTTTTTTTCAAAATTTTTGAAAACTTTCATGCGTATCACCAAAAAATCTTCGAGAAAGATTATTTAGGTTTATGGTTATCCTCACTTAATTCATCCTTCTTTTATTGTCCCTTTCTCTTTCTTTTCCTTTAATATTTTTATGAAATTTTGCAATTTGTAGTTTCTATTAATACTCATCCATGATTTCAGTTTATTATGTTGAAAGGAGTACGTGATATTTAGTACATCAAGTACATGGTTTCAGTTTCAAACATTTTACAAGTGCTTAAGAATATTAATTTTTAATTTATATAAATTGAGATTTTTCAGTTACAAATGAGCATGTAAATAGTAATGTCTACGCATTTCAAGTTTCTAAAATAAAAAGTCTCAATAGTTTCCAAGGTGGAACATGCAATCGTAATAACCTTTTCATATAAATATTTCTCATTTGATTAAGTGTAAATTAGTATTAGAAATAGTTCTACAAAATAAAGATAGTAGGCTCATCAAAGAAAAGATGAAAAAATTATTTTAAAGCAACTTCAAAGAAATATAAATATTGGAATGATATAAACAAGAAAGAAATTTCTCTATAAAACTAACATAAAGAATAGGGTATATCATTTCGTTTGTTTAGAAAATATATTATTATTCTTGCTTTAATTATGTAGAAAGATAATTTAAATGCAACAAAAAGTTTTGGTTTAATGTATCAAAACTAAGGACATTAATTTCTAATATACATATAAGGGTGGATTTAGCCCCTCCCAAAAAAAAAAAAAAAAAAAGACTATAGGGATTTGGTCTAGCCATTTCTTAATAGCTAATTTCACTTCATGACCCACTTTTTTTAATGATACAATGTCTCCATAGTACTGTGATTCGTTTTCATTTAATTAACTCCCCAATTTAAAGCAAAAAAAAAAAAAAAAAGACTATAGGGTTAGGGCTAGCTCTAATTCTAGATTTGGCTTCTTGCAATGGCTTTTTATGCCTAACATTTCTGAATCAAAGACTTTTGCCAACAATAGGTAAATCCTTCACTCTAATTTACCTTAGCAGTTTGTAAATTTTTGTGCTTATGCCCTTGCTATAAATGATTTTCCTTAGAATAATCATATTCAACTAATAACTAGCTCCTTTAACTCTAAACCCTACTGCACTGTTAATAATTCTCAGAAATTATTATAGGTTACTGAATATCATTTTTGGAGAAATTGACCTATATTAGGTTAAATTATATTATAAGAATTCTATCGTTGTGACAAATAAAAAAAAAAAGATTGTAACTGCTTGTATAAAAAAGAATAAAATCCTTAAAGAGATGGGAACATCACAATTGCTGGAATCACCATCAGACAAAGGGTGGACAAGGATAGATCCATTACAACAATAAACATATCAAAAATTGTTCTTGTTTCAAGATAACTACATGAATATTATGATGTATGATAACGTAGAAAACGGTAATGATAAGTGATATATGACGATACAAGAAAATCCCTATGACTATTATATATACTCCATCATCTACCATCTGATATTATATATACACATATTTGCAATTGTCCATTAACCTTTTTTTTCCCGAAACGATAGGTGATTTTATAAAATACCAAGGTTGTACAATTACAAACAAATACTCGATGGATCTATACAATTAGTATCTTGAACACAAACGAATCCAAAGATCCTCATCTTGAATTATACCTAAGACATATGAACTAATCCTATTAGATATGTGATTATAGCAATTGTCCATTAACTTGCTTAGACCGATCTTCGACTAGTTTTGGTTTTTGAAAATTGCTTTTTCCATTTCTCTTCCAAGCCGGCAAATAGCCTTTTAAGTTCAGTCTATTGATCCCTTTGTAAACCATGCTGTCTATACAACATGATGTGTTTTCTTGTACCAACCATCACTTTTCTGATATCATTACAGCATATGACTAGAAAATATACCACATGGTCTAGAAGTTCTTAGATCAAGCCTAAACAAGCAAGCATCTTATAGTTGCAAGTCATAATTAAATTGGCTAAACATTGCTAGTTCCTGAGACGGTTACTGCTTTGTGACAGTCGATTTAAAATAGTATCCATCAGCAAATGATTTGAATCAAACGAACATCAAAGGGAAGAGAACCTATTGAACATAAGATGATCGACCACACTTCAATAAAACCTTTAATGCGATGAATGCACCAAGAAAAAGTAACAAATACTGCCTCTGAATATAAGGGCCTTTCTCTGCTGCAATTACAGAGATTTGTCAGGTACTTCTGGATCGTCTGCGATTGTGAAAATAATCACCTTTTTCATCCATTACTTTCATTTTCAGTTCATTTTTGAACTATGCTTACATTATTTTACACATTTGTTATTTCTGAATACATGCATAATATCGCAAGCCTATGGCTTCAACCTAGATCGTCTAGCAGACTGGATCAGGAGGTTCTCCATCAGATACTTGAAACAAGCAGAAGTAATCAAGAGATTGCTTGCCAGGAAATTACCATATCTTCTGTCCGAATAACAAAATTGTGAGCTGCCTCAAAAGGATAACCTTCTAAACCACCAACTACTTTGAATCTTGATTAAAAGGGTAGCA